CCCTAGGACCATCAAGGGAGAAGAGCAAAAGCAGAATGGGGGACCTTATCCATAGAAACAGTGACACCAGAGAAGGAGGCAGAGATGGGGGCATGGAGACATGGAGACAGGGAGTGGCTGAGAACTCTAGATTCATGGGAAGAGAGGGACTAACAGCTGGTGGTCAGGAGGCAGACTTGTAGAATGTGCCCGTTGGAGATGTAAATTATTATATATGCCTTAGTGGTGTTTTTTGGTTTTTGGTTTTGTTAAAGGCTAAAGTGAATAGAGAGAAATACTGTTAACTGATGGTACATGGAGGGCATTATAATCATTGTAATGAAACAAGGTGTATAATTTGTTGAATATAAAACTGATGATCTGCCGTGTAAACCTTCACTCAATCCACAATAAAAAACCTTAAAAAAAAAAAATCAGTTGCCAACTCCCACTTTAACTCATGATGACACCATATTTCACAGAGTATAACTGCTCCATAAATTTATCAAAGTCTGATTTGTTAGATATAGATTATCAGTGCTTTTCCCATAGCCTCTCCAACCTTTTGTTTAACAGTCTAATATGTTAACCATTTGCACCTCCTAGGGACTGCATCTATTATTATGTCTTTCTCTCATATTTGCAAGTAACAGAATAAATTTGGTTCAGAATCTGGAAAAATATGCTCTAATTATCTCTAAATTTGGAGCAAGTCTTTACATAATGTAAGCATACTAGGCCTAAGCATTACTGGATATATTGGTTTATTACTGACTTGTAAAATGCACTCCAATCTTTCCTCACTGGATCACTATTGTAGGCAACTGCATTCTCAAAGTTCCCCGAGCTTGTGGATTCTAGATAGGTTTGGCCAATGGAAATCACTGAATTAAACTTGGAGAGTCAGAAGAGTGAATTGACCAACATATGTCTCCACCTTTCTTTCAAGCATCTTATCTTCAGTCAAGAGTAAGGATTTTCTTTTTTTGTACCTTGACTCATGATAAATAGTATCTCTCCCTGTGGTCCAGATTCAGCTAAGCAGCTTAGATCATACTTATATATCATATTGCATGCCTCAGATTCTGCCCTGGTTAAACTACCTATATATATTGTCCCTTAAGCATTAATGTCTCTGGTAGCGTAGTGGTTATGAATCGGGCTGCCACCTCAATGTCGGGAGTTCGAAACTACCAGCAGTTCCATGGGAGAAAGATGAGGTGTTCTGCTCCCGTAAAGAGTTACAGCCTCAGAAACCCTCTGCAGAGTCGCTATGAGTTGGAACTGACTCCACAGTACTTAACAACAACAGCAAGCACTAACAAATGGCAGGGCATTCCTTATGTTGCTCTCTTTAGGGTACTTCACCATTCTCTGATTGGTGTTTCATTTCTCCAATTATGTGTTATCTAATGCATTTGTGGACCAAAAATGCTTTATGTTTTTCTGTCTGCGTCCTGATTGGTATATCTTATTTAGCACATATGCTTCAAAATATGCTATTATCCAGAAAGTGAATCAGAAATTAAATTTTTCTCTGTGGTTCAGTATTTTGTGTCTGAAAAGAATCTAAATATGATAGGCAGAAAAATGTCATATATTAAATTTAATATATTAAAATTTTTAACTTAAGTGTATTTTCCATTTCTTATTAATACTTACCTGGGGAAGCAGCATTTTCAGGTGGAAAATTCCCACTGTCAATACTACCACCTGGCCATGAGTCAGCTGTATTTTCACAGTTTGGAGGTAAATATGTAGGATTACAATGACAATTCTTTTTATTATTGCACACCTGAAAAAGGAGAAATAATACTTCATAAGAAAAACAACTACTATATATATATATATATATTGGTTGCTATGGATCAGAACTGACTCAACTACACTTAACCACAATATATATACACAAGAAGAACCATAAAATAATAGCTAGGCAAGATAAGGCGATACAATGTGTATGTGTGTGTGCTTTCCTCAGGGATCAGTCTTAATGATGTATACTCTTACCTCATAGCATTGGTACTTACACCATGTCTATTGCATTTTTCTTCAGTACAGTCATAATTCAAGTATGTGGAGTCAACACAATGCATATTCTTGCAAACCTTTAAAGGAAATCAGTCAAAGTAAGTTAACCAATGTGCCATCTGGTTTTCCATGTAATTAATTAGAGTCTGTTCTGTACTGGCATGAAAGATATTAACTAATATACTGGTAATAAATTATTAATTTATAGTACTACAGTGTTTCAAACCCTAGATGAGACTATGATTAGCTATGAATAAATAACAATGAATTCTTGCCTCTAATGGGAGTAGGAGATACAGATTTGAAGTAAAATAAAATAGATAAATGTATACTAAATGTTATGATAAAAACAATTTTGACAGTGATAAAACACAGGAAGCTTATCTAATAAATGATAATAATAAAACCTTCTCATTAAGCCAATAGACAGAAATGAAAGATTAAATATCTCTGTGGAATATACTTTTA